ATATGAAAATCGCGACGCCGAATTAAAAAGAGTCACTAACCTGCTTGTAAACAATGGATATAAGACTTATTCTATTGAAAAGATAGTTAAAGGCAAATTAATACACAGCAATAACCTTCCTAGTACCAACAATCAAGATAACGACATCATCTTGTATTACAGAAATCACATGTCAACTGCCTACAAGGTAGATGAAGCTATTCTTAAACATATCATCAATAAAAATGTTACACCAACCAACCCAAATAATAAAGTTAAACTCCGAATATATTACAACAATAAAAAGACGTCTCACCTAATACTGAAAAACAACTGCAGTCCTAGAGATAACTCTGTGCTAAGGCGTAATAACGTAATATAAGAATTTAATTGCCCCTTTGCCCCAACATGATTCATATATCGGGATTACTACTACCTCATTGACTAGAAGGCTTACGATGCATAAACAGAGTGGTGCTATCAAATCTTATTTGGACTCAACACACTCAATCACAATTAGCCGTGAAATCATCGACAGCAACACCAAAGTAATATACCAGAACAGCAACTACACACATTTTAAAATTGCAGAAGCAGTCCTAATTGACATCAATAAACCAAAAATAAATATACAACCAAAAAAATGACAACCTCATTTATTTGCAGCATGAATTCGAAAAATAAGTTTATTTTGAATTTTAATAAACTAAACGTTCACCAAAAAACATTAGTGAGAAAAATTGAAGAAACGAACAACAAACATATTAACACCAAACATTCGGTAGAATTTATAGAATATTGTAAATATATATATATATATATATATATATATATATATACATATATATATATATAACTCCAGTTCTCCAAATAACTTTTGAAACATGCACTCACTTTTCCTCTTGTTCCATGTGAATGTAATTTTTTAATCAATATATCATGGTTGGGGTTGATGAAATCAAAGGCCTTTGAGAGATTCATAAATACACCTACGGTTAGTAATTTTTCAATAAGATTATTCATAACATATTGCAGTAGTTGCAACACAGCGAGCTCAGTTGGGTATCTGAGAAATATATATATATATATGTGTATGTGTGTGAGTGTGAGTGTTTGCCTTTGAACAATTAATTTGACGGTAGCAACTATTTCCCACCAGTTTTATTTATCTAGTAGGTTATTTTTAAGTTAATATTTGAAAAAACTATTAAAACATATAAATAATTATTATAATAATTGTATTTTTATTCAGTATTTTGAGTTTTGCTGATTCGAATCATCATTACGAACGATGGCCCTGGAGCAATGGCTTCTCCGTGGTGGAAACGATCGAAGCGACGAGAAGACCTCCAGAATAAGGGGATTCAACAAAACCACATCAACATTTTTGTTCAATTCTCCAAAAATCATCAGAAACATTAACAACAATGATGTCAATGTTAATGCTACTAACTTCCGGACTAACAAAATTTTAAAATCATCATCACCACCAAATGAAATTTTGAAAATCATGCAATTCAACTGCAATGGCATCCGAAAAAGGCGAAAGGAATTAGAACACCACCTCATTTCCAACAACATCCAAATAGCGGCAATACAAGAAACCAAACTTTCATCACCCTTAAAAAATATCGAATTTTCCAACTACACAGTTTACCGCAGAGACAGGTCAGGTAAAAAAGGCGGCGGACTACTCATGCTTATCATCAACAGCATTCAGTATGATAAAAAACCACTACCAAGCCCAAACAATGACGTCATTGAACAGCAAGGTATCACCATCAAAGTCAACAACACTATGATCAACATCATAAATATCTACATTCCACCTCAAAGTAAATGCCCAAAAATGTTCAAAGCATCACTTTCTCATCTGCTTTCCATACCAAACCTAATATTACTTGGTGATTTTAATGCTCATCACCAACTTTGGCATTCAAGCCTTCAAAACGATCGTGGAAACAAACTGGCTAGCGAAATTGACTGTTCAAGCTGCGCTACACTCAACATGAACTCATCTACCTACTTACATACCAACGGGAAACTTAGCTCACCTGACATTTCAATTACATCCTACTCTCTAAAAAACAAAATGGAATGGAGCACCAAAAGAGACCTTACTTCTGACCATTTTCCAATACACATCACTTTTCTAACAACTTGCAAAGCTACAAAAACATCTAGAATTCCAAACATTCCAAAACATTCAAAAGCAAATTGGAACAAGTACAAAATTGAAACCAAAAACGTGTTAACTGTCTTTATCGTCATTATTATCTTGATTGTTGTGCTTTATTCTTATTCAAACCTATGACAGTGTATTGAAGAATATATGTAAAAGTTAGAAACTGATTTGTTAGAAATTATTTTTAATTTTCGATCCTGAAAAACATAATTAAATGACTATTGATTTGTAAAAACAGAAAAAGAAGAAGAAGAAGAAGAAGAGGAGGAGGAAGAAAAATGTGGATATAACTCATCGAAATAGCAACCCATATAATTTAAAAGTTGGTGAATTGGTAGTCGGAAATCGACGACCGATTAAACGTCGTCTATTTGTTTTGTATACCGGATTCTGGTTTGATAAAGTTTTACAAGTGAATGATTGAATGAATAAATGAAAGAATGAGTGAGTGAGTGTAACGAATAAATGAATGAATGAGTGGATAGTTTTCTCCATAATGGATAAATTAAAAATTTAATCTGCGGATATTTTAAATGATATAACATATAAATGGCCATGTGCAAATTCTAGCTATTTACAATTATAATAATTAGCATTTTATATCCATCTTTGTCAGATTAAAAAGAATTAAATTAATAATTTGTGTAATTTAACAGTCCTAGCTAATAAAAATAACATACACCGTATATCCTTTATTGTATAATTGTCCTCAATAAATTTTTTTTTAAATGAAATGAATTGCAAGCGTTTTAAAATTTAATACAGCGCCATCTGTACAAAACGAGACAATAATTTTTTTAGTTTTTTAATTATTTCAAAAAATTTTATTAATTCATTCGCTGTTTTTGGAGCTATGTATTGTGGTGGATATGAATCAAATTTATTTTTCAATTAAATCCTATTAATATTTATTTTTATTTGCATTTATTATATTTACAACAGTATTGTTATTTATAATTTATTTTTGCCATTCTAGTTATTAGAAAAATTAACACGACGAATGTTACCTTGATGAGTTTTAGACAATTTATTTTTTTATTATTGATATTAATTAGCGTTTTAAATATGCAAAATTTTGTTAACGTAACGAGCTACCGGTTCAAACATAGCAAGTCAAACACTCGTCACCAAGGCGCTCACATGCAAATGAATTTTTCATCTTTTGATGCCTCACTGGATGGCGAGAGATTACGAACGATATAATTAAACAACAGGTAAGCAAGTATATGGCTGAAAGTGGAAAGAGTTGGAGATTTTTTTTAATGAGTGAGCGAGTGAATGATTAGATAAATGAATGGATAAATAAATAGGTGAATGAATGAATGAATAAATGAATGAAGGAATGAATAATAGAATGAATGAATGAATAAATAAATTAATTAGTAAAGGAATGAATGAATGATAGATTAAATGAAGAAAGTAAAGAATGAATGAAAACAGTGTATGACTAGTTACGCTAGTTAGAATTTTACTCATAACAATCAAGGTGCAAGCCTCATATTGTTAAACACAGCAGTATATTACTTAATTATATTTGATAAAATTTACCGAATTTTTGGATTTTGAAAGTTTACGGTTGAGCTTTTCAAGATTTCTAACAGTAATTTTGAGATTATTATACAATTTCTTAAAATTAATAGGAAAATTGTTTGTGTTCATAGAGAAGAGGATAGGCCATACTTCGATTTTACTCATCATCATCGCTAACGATGAGGATGATGATGATGATGACGAAGGTAAGAGTGACGATGATGATGGTGATGATAATTTTTTTAATTATTATTTTAACATTTTTCTGACGAAACAAAAGTTCGCCCTTCATGTTGGTTAATCAGCGTGCAGTTTCAATGACAGTATGCATCGGCAACGCTAAAAAGTTCTGGACCAGCAGCATACATTACGATCAACACGGATGATTTTTACGTCAGTAGTAATAATTACCAAAATTCGGAAAATTGAAATTAATTTTGCGATATTTATTATATTCATATTAATTTGTTATTGCATTTAACAATATTTAATCATTCTGTGATTAGATTTGTTCTTCTTCAGTCTTAAACTGGATATTTTCATAAGAAACCCTGCCCATCTCAAAACAATAGACCTTTATATGCCTTTATATTTTATTTACTTTATATGCCAGTTTTCATATTGGAGACGAGCATATAATGTTCGATTTTTACATAGGACTGTCCTGTTGAATCAATTTTTTTTAATTTTTTGCTGCTTGTGTTTAAGTTCATTCTGTAACGTTTATTTATTATAAGCGTCGAACGTATCATACGATCATTATTGTCAATAGTTCGCTAATTATTTTTAGTTGAACGAAGATAAATTTATCAATTTGTTATGCAATTTCTGTACACAGTCAATTATTCATGGCCATTATACATTTTTCAGTTGTTATCATTCATTTGATTACATTTCAACAGCTGTTTGGAGCAAGTGCCATTTTGTATGCACGCCCTATAAATCTAAGCTTCCACGTATAGATAATGCATATATATATATATATATATATATATATATATATATATATATATATATATATATATATATATATATATATATATATATATAAATACATATATATATATATATATAAAAAATCTTTATTTTGATATAAAATTTAATATTTTTAGTTCAAATGGTAAATTTTATTAAGTTAATTGATGGCGTATATAAATTAATACAGCGCTAAACCTAAAAGAGAAATGATTTGATGAGAATTAAAACCTCAACAACATGTTACATCCACGACAAGTTGTCCCAACATAGAAAATGTTCTCATTGCTAGTTGAGCCTGCCATACTGCAGAACGACAAATATGTACGTTGATGTGCCTTTCTTGGTAGTTGTTGATGTTAATTAACCACTTTCAAATCACCGACAGAAATGTTTTGTAATTTTCTAAAGAAATATTGTTTGAATTGTCAGACTAAGTTAATTATCATTAGAAAAACGTTGTAAGTTTCAGTGTTTTGCTGATGTTTTCCTGAGGCTAATGATATCGTAGAAGAAGTTCTCTTTTTATATGCTTCTTTGTTGTTGTTTATAGTTCAAAATATAATTTGTTCTTTCTGCCAACTTTTCGTGTATCATTTCTACTTCATTTTACTTGCTATTTTATTTTGCTAAAAGTGAAAATTTAAGAAAATTGCGGAGAGAATTTTTTCAAATTTGTTTTTGCAATGTTTACACTAGATGGCATGCCGCTTACATTCTCCAAAACCATTAACGAATTGTTAAGCAGATAAAAATTTGAATTGTAAAAAAATGACAACTCGGTGAATTAACTCATTGCTATGCGGAATAATTCTTCTGCCAAATGAGGATTAGCATCTGATGGAATGCTTTCGTTAGCACACTTTTTTGTTTTCTTTCCTTGCTTTCCAATTTTGTCGCAATCACGCAGACGTTGATGATTGCCTGGCGGTAATTGTGTTACTTTGTTGCATAATAGCTTTCGTTAGTAGTTGGCTAGTTTGTTGATAGAATGAAAGAATGTACACACACACACACACACACACCATACACACACTCCACACACATACACAAACACACACACAGCTGTTTACATAAGCGCATAAGCAAAAACATTTCATTAAATAAAAATACTCTTCTCAAACAAAAGCCGTTACAGATAATTCATTATTCTAAACTGAAACCACGTGTCAGGGTTGCTTGTTTGTCAGAAACCAATAATAAGAGAGAAGATGAGATAGAAACATGAACATGCGAGAGAGAGAAAGAGAGAGAGAGAGAGGTTTTGTTGAATGAATGATCGGTTGGTTGGTTGTAGCAACAGCAACAGAAGAACTCTGGTGTCAAGTTAACTGACGGTTTTAAACAAATTATTTTAAAATTTGTTTTAAAAATTTGTTTTTAATAAAATAATTCGCAAAACCTATTTAGGTAGTTAGCTAAAAGAATGAAGTTTTGATTTATTTTATTAAATCAGCAAACCATCCAAAAATTAAAATGTGTAAATACCGTAAATAAATTTCTATTATTATCCCACTGTTTTGTGGAATGGTGGTATAAGAATGGTGACTTTTTTTAAAAAGTTCATCAAAATTTATTTCAAATTCAAAATTTAAATGTGTAGAAACTCAACCTATCCAACAAGTTTGACAACTTATATACATATCAATAATTAATTCATAAATTAAATTAATTTTATTACCCGACAGAACTTATAAATTACTTAACCGGCTCAGATGCTTGATAACATTTTTAAAATTCTCAATGTAGGTAACAATGTTTTTCCAATTGTTAAAATCCACTTAAAAAATAATTTATGTATTGGAAAACAAAACGTGGAGAAGTATTAAAATGTCAGTGTTCGTAAATGAAGCCACGTTTCATTCCAATTTTTACTTCTTATTGTCTAGGAAAGCGGAATAGTGCAACTGTAAAAGAGAAGAGGCCGTCTGTACAGAAAAAAAATTTCTAATTTATTTTCAAATAATGGCAGCCCAGTCCTGTCACTTGTTGCCTGGGAGGAAGCAGGCACGAACATATTTTGCTTTGTGACTTTTTCAAATCCAAGCTGAAATTTTTTGAAAAAATGTTTGTGATATTACATCATAAAATTATAACTCAATTTATGCGCAATTATAACGACAACTTTAGCAGAAGTAGACATTAGGCTGTAATTAGATAACTTTGATGTCGAATAGCTGATAAGAGTACTTTTCAAATTAACTGTTTTCTACATAATGAAATTGTCATTGTTCATATTTATCTAATATTAATCTAATTGTTTGAAAATGTTTACAAATTTTTAGCAAATTTCGCAAAATTTTAATCGTTAGCGACGGGTTTAAGTTTTTTTTTGTAATAACGGTAAGAAAATTGTTTTAAAAAAGACAAAAATTATAATTTACGTATAGTATCATGAAAATACCACAAGGATCCATCGATGGTTTTCTGTCTGTTATGAAAATATTTTACAATCAAAAACATTGTGATGTCTAGATGGGGTATTTGAATAAATAAATCAATCAATCAGTCAATAAATATGAAAATCATTGTTAAATAATCATGGAATAAAATTACTTAAATACTATTAATTTAGATGATAATTTTGCTCAGCTGAAACATCTTAAAAACGAGACTCAACTTTAGAACATAAATTCGTTCGACATTCAGGTGAGACATTTCAATGAGACATTCAGTTTAGTACTGCCCAGCTTGATTTCAATACCATCTCTATTCATTTTCATTATCGTAACAGTTAAATGCTCCGAAGCAATTTTTTTGGATTACCTACACAGCAGCGCCGTGGGACAACACTACACAAGACATCAATTGCTGCTCTCTCACTCACTCACTGACGCGACAACAAAGAGAGCCATCCATCCACTTATCTCTCCACTTACCGTAGAGAAGTAGGAACGTGCAAAGCTGATAAATGTCGTA